GTCCTGACAACTGCATGAACAAGTCCCCAAAGTGGTTTTTTGTGTGTGCAAGATTTCACAAGAGTTGAATGACTGGCCTAAGGACCCCCAGCTAGTGTTGAACCTAAGACAGAACAGGACATCTCCCAGTTTCTAGCCTGATGCCTTAACCACTGTGACAAGCCCACCACTCTTGTTGAAGGCTATCCTGTTCTTTTACAGCATTATTGGAAGAAAATGTTTTGAACATTCAGGCTGCATCTCTTTTCTTTTAGCAATTTCAACAGAGAACAGTTCAGCTTGCTTTTTGCACAGGATATGTTTGTGGATGACCACCATATTTCCCCTTAGTTTTGTCTTTGCAAGATAAACATCCCTACTTTTAACTGTTACCCCTATGGCTTGCTTTATAAATTCCTTATCATTCTGGCTTCTCCATTCTCTTAGAAGGGGTAGCCCAGGACAGTACTTGATATTACCTCCATGGGTTAACCAGTGCAGAGTATAATGCAACTGGACATCATGCTTTCTTTTCATATTGTTCATCCTTGTTTGGGTGGTGATCTACTCTCATTCTTTCCCAGGTATTTCTTTATACACACTTGAATTACTGTTTTGAATGGATTTCAACAGATACACTGTCTTGATTTTAAATGGAAGTATGGAGAAGAAGAGGATTGACTCAGGAAACAAATCTAACATTATTAACTGTGTTCAATCTAAGTATAGTATATAAAATCATATATTGCAATGTCCTACCTGTCAATACTTCAGCTTCAACCATAACAATACAAGAGCACAAAATAGATACAAACTCAAGGTAAACCGCACCAAACTTGATTGCAGGAAATACGACTTCAGCAACAGAGTGGTCAATGTCTGGAATACTCTACCTAACTCTGTGGTTTCTTCCCCAAACCCCAAAAACTTTAACCTTAGACTGTCTACTATTGACCTCACCCCTTTCCTAAGAGGTCTGTAGGGGGGGCGTGCATAAGCGCACCAACGTGTCTACCATCCCTGTCCTATTGTTTCTTTTTTTCTTATTTGTATTCATTTCATGTATTCATAACTATGTTTATACTTATACCTGTTATCTAATAATCACTCAACAAAATAAAATAAATAAATAAATAGTTCTGTTTCTTTTCTCCTGTGCATTCCTTAAAGCTTCCTCTCCTACAAAAAGGTAAAGTTCTGTTTGGAGCAAATTACATTCCTAGTGCACATCTATGACACTAGACTATGACAGTTTTCCTTTATGTATCTTATGTCAGTGCTCTCTGAGTTTGGTTGTTTTCTTGTTGACATTTTCTTATCCAAACTAGGTAACACCATCAGTGCTAGTGAGGAGTGGGGCTTGCTCTCCATTTTCCCCCCTAGTGGCTTGCCCTGTCAGTGTGGATGGGAGTGGTCTAGGAAATTCTTTGGTTGGGCTTTTTATTGCTTGTTTGCCAGTTCCTTGATGTTCCCTGATGTTAATCTTGGAGTTAATCTATGCTCAGATGGGTCTTGATTGCTGATGGAGAAGTGTTTTGATCTTTTTATTCCCTTTTTGGCTTACTAGCACTGACTCCAAAAGGTGTTTTTCCAAACAGCAATTAGGCTGTCTGGTTTTTTTTTCCTTTGAAAATGTTTTGCTTCTCACCCAAGGAGCTTCTTCAGTGCTCACTGAATGGTGGCGAATATAATAATATATGTAGTTGATGTAATGAAATGTCTGCAAGAAAACAACCAAAACAACGAAGCACAAAGAACATCAAGGACATCTCCTTTCAACCCTGAGCTATAAATATTCTCCTTTATTGTACAGCATTGTTTGATTTTCTTATAAAGGCAGTGAATAGTTACCAGCACATGAAATCTCTTCCCATTTTCAAATCTGATTAAGAATGGGCAATGTTGCAACTCCAGATAGTGTAAGTCTGATGTTTCTACCATCTTTTTCTGCTAGTTGTGATTGCTAAGAGCAGAACATCCATACAATAGGCAGCTGTGTTCACTTTTAATTATCTTAAACCTTGTTTTATTTCACCTTACTGTAGCAAAGAAACAGTAGTTGTCTAGATGCATATTATACATTAGAGCAATGCTTTGGATTCAAACAGGAAAATTTCCTCTGAATGTGCTGAATGCCCTTATAGTAGCTGTGTTTTCTTGGGATGACATAATTAGTGTGCCTGTGTGCATTCTGATACACCTTTTCTCCTTTTGTATTCCTAGCGCTGCACACCCTTAATATTCATACTGCCAAAACTAAATAAATGATGTTTTAACTTTGGGTACTGTCCTAGATACTTCACCAATATATTCCAGTAAAAAGTAAAGACTGGAATAATGTGGAGATACAGGGTAGCCCACTTGCTTCCTTAGAGACGGGCCTGGTACTTTGGATACTTGCTGTTCAATGAGTCAGGAGCCTTCTGGGCTCATTCTCTTGTGTTTTTATTTTTGTTTCCTTGCCTATATTGCCAGAAATTGGCTCTGGAAATGCATCCCAACCTGCCAATAAGCAATTGACAGCTGTCAGGTTTTGAAACATAAAAACACAGGACATGGTTATTTACTTCACGGACTCGTTTTTTTATTTAAAAAATGCATTCCGGCCATGTTCCTTTCTCCTTCATTACAGCTTTGATTGCAGTTATGAGCATGTAAGAAGATCGCTTTCTATGTTCTAAAATAACTTGTATAGATTTCTGCAAACAGGTGGCTCTTTCCCCTGCCTTTGTTACAATCCTTAAAGAATCCTTTCTTAACATATGAAACTAGATGTTGCACATATCTTTTTACTACAAGAAGTTAACTAGTTTTATCAAATCTGTACTTTAGGAACATATGTGTGTTAAAACAGAGAATAGACTACTTTAGTGTTTATTTAGAACTGATCAGTAGGTTGGGAGGGGGGGAAGACTGTCCAACCTGCCTACTGTTTGACCAATTAAAATGCATATGCTATTTTAGATGGCTTAAACTTCTACTTTTTGTAGGAAATGACATAGGTTTTTGTTAGCATCTACCTCAAAGGTTCCTAATTTAAGCACAGCCTTGACAGAACATTTTAAAGTGGGAAGTAGTTTCCATTCAGCCTACCCAACCCGTCCCTTGAGAATGACAGCTAATTAAGGAGCTCTTAAAAATTAAAAACAGATCCGCTTGTCAAGGTAATTGCCAGTAGTTGAAGTGAAACCACAAAAACAGAGTTCAAAATAAATTTTTGAAATAGTTCTCAGGGACTTAGAACTCAAATAATTTCCTGCTTTCTACCTTTGTCATGCACAGTGCTAATTCAGATAAGTAAAAAAAACTTATCCAAGGTCAGAGAGTCTGTATGATCACAGAATAGCTCCTACTGTTCAGAGGATACTAAGGGTTTAAAAGACAAAAAGATCCCTCCTTATGCCTTGTAGAATAGTTTGCAAACATTTCCCTTCATGATAAGAAAGTACCTCATGTTCCTTGAGGTCCTCTTACCAAATTATCAAAGGCCCATAAGTGTGACAGTCCTCTGCTTTTGAATAAGAAACCCAGAGCACCCACCATATTTGGCAGTCTCTGAGCTTGGTTGTTTACTTGCAGATGTTTCATTACCAAATAGAAGAGAATATTTGTAGCTCAGAGTTGAACCTAGTTGGGACATGAAATGTCTGCAAGAAAACCACCAAGCTCAGAGAGCCCCAAGGACACCCCCCCCACCCCGCAGCTTTTATTGTGAAATGTTAAGTATGCTTAGCTTCCCTCATTGTATCCCATCTTTCACCAAGAAGCAGAGCTTTGCATGCAATTCAGTGCACGATAATTGTTCATTCTGACAGAAGATACCATTTCACAGATGATGTTACCTGAATGGCTTTGGAAATTCTCCCAAAGGTGCTTTTTTTTTAAAGGGGCAACTGGACTTTCTTGCCTTTCTTTGAAGAAAAGAAAAGCATCCAAGAAGTTTCTTCAGCTCTGACTGGGTGGTGGGGAATGGAAGGATTTAGAATCCTTGGAAGGAATATAGGAGAACAAATCCATCAGTACAAGAATGAGAAGTCCATCTGTTTGTTTTTTTTTAAATAAAGGCCACATTTTGGACAGAAAGGACTGCAGGTTTGAATAAAGGGTCAAAGAGGCCATCTACGTCAAAACTGAACAGTCCTTTTTCAACAGAGGGGGGTGGATATCATCTATCCCCAGTCTACAACACAGTCCTTTCAGCAATTCCAAGGCGGCTTCCATGCCCATTTGCAGCACTCAGGTAACCTTGAGGACACAGATAAGCCTCCAGGTGATCTTAACGATTGTAAATGAATGCAAATTTCCAGCTGCCTGCAGGGAATATAAATATTTCCATTCCTTACCATCCAGTCCGAGTGGAAGAAGCTTCTTGAATGAGAAGTGAAACATCTTCAAAGAAAAACCAGAAAGTCCAGTTGCCTCTTGAAAAAGCACCTTTGGGAAGATGATGTTACTTGGTTTGGTAAAGAAACCTCTCTAAGAAAACCACCAAGCTCAGAGAGCATCAAGAATCTCTCATTATTAATTCTGTTGACTTGTGATTAAAAAATGGGAGTCACAGTCTGTGGATCTCTATCCACATCCTGCTAGGAAAACCAGAGCTATTCAGAATCTCTGTCTTAACCCAGAGGATATAACACGTACAGGTAATCCTTGACATACAACAGTTCATTTAGTGACCCTTCAAAGTTTCAATGACACTGGAAAAAGTGACTTATGACCATTTTTCTCAGCATCCCCATGGTCACAGGATCAAAATTCAGATGCTTGGCAAATGGTTGCAGTGTCCTAGGGCCATGTGATCCCTTTTTTGGGAACTTCTGACAAGCAATGGGGAAGCCAGGTTCACTTAACCATGTGACTAACTTAACAAATGTAATGATCCACTTAACAACTGTGGCAAGAAAGGTCATAAAATGGGATGAACTCACTTAGCAAATGTTTCACTTAGCAACCTAAATATTGGGCTCAATTGTGGTCGTAATACGAGGACTAGCTCTATCTTATTTTCACACTGACAGATTTTCTTGAAAGTACAACGATCAGGAAAATATCTCATTCTGGAAGAATGCTATAAATTAAACTAAGTTAAAATTAACTGGTAGGATCTCTTTTTTTTCCCCCCACCAGGAAATCTGATCTCTTGACGTACAAAGGTGGAAAAGATTCATATCAGTAACAGAATATTCAAAATTGTTAATAGACAAAAATCTCTACAATATATTAGAGGAAAAGACATTTAATTGACTTTCGTTTATTTCACATATTCCGGACTTGTTCAGCTCCCAAGCTTCTATTAAGTCTACTATATAAATTATCCATCCATTATCTCAGGCGTAGAAAGCAACCCCTTTTATGCATCCAACAGAACTTGTAGTAGTAAACAAACTTAACATTTCCATCCTATAAGAAATGAGGCTCTGGCTTGCTACGCATACTCTCCAAATGTCTGCCGCTGGAAATCCCGTCGCAGCCGCTGGAAATCCCGTCGCAGCCTTGCTTCCCTTCGCTTTGAAAGTTCCAGATGCCGATGTTGAACAGCCCATCCTAATGCCAACAGAAGAGGAGAGGCTCGCATTTTACTCCGCTACGACACCATTCGGTGAGGCGAAGGCAGAAAACAACGCCGGTTTCAAAAAACTTTGCATTCATTCACTGAAAAAAAGTTCCTTCTTGAGCGTTTTTTGGCTTGGTTCACTGCTGTCCGGACGGCACATTCGAATACCTTTTGAACTCCCCGATTGGCCAGGGAGGAGCACTCCAAGTAACCCTTCGCACGGATGTCCTTCGCCAGTTGCTTTCCATGCACTGGGCTGATGCAGGTGGTGCTGTGAGGACCTGTGTCCCTTTGGTCGATCTGGGTAGCCACCACCAAAATCGGGATTCGGGGCAGGTGGGTCCTAATCTCCGTCACCCACTTGTTCCTTAAGCTGAGAAAGGAACTGTGATTGGCCACCGAATAGCACATCAACACCACGTCGGCCTGTTGATAGGACAGAGGGCGGATGCTCTTGAAGGAATCGCTGCCAGCGGTATCCCAAAGGCCTAAGCTGATCTGGATGCCATCCAGGTAGACATCCACCCCGGTGTTTTCATAAACGGTTGGCCTGTAAGCATCCGGAAAAGTCTCCGAGATAAAGCGGAGCAGCAAGGCTGTCTTCCCCACGGCAGCATCACCTACCAGAACGCATTTGACCGAATCCAACATGTCCTCTTTCTTCAAGTGGAGTTTCTAAACACCACTCCTAGGAAAGCTTCTCAGGAAATAGAAAATAATAATAATAAAAAAAATCACCTTGCTAAGGTGACCTGTGGCATTTCTGTCCAAAAAATAAAATCAAATCAAAACCTCCTGCTGTCTTTGGCCACGGTTCCACAATTCACTGAGTCAAAGGAGTTTCCTACAATGGAAAGAAAATACAGTTGGCATTTTAGCAGCAAATCATTTCCCCATTCCATCCCGTTTCATTTTGGCACACACAAATCAAAGCGTACACATTTGTACAAATTAAAACAATATTGTTGATTAATATGTCCACCATGGTGTACATTATATTTAACTACTGGAAGATAATACATTAAAAGATCTGATTTTCTTGATTTAACACAAATGCTAAATACTCAGAGGACTTAAAATGGAAACAGATAAGCCCAAACCAATTAACAACTGACAATCTGACACCTAGAGCACTGTAAATCTATGAGTTAAGATTAAGGTTGGGAAGATTACATTTAAAAGCACAATTCGCAATGGAAGTGGACTAGATGCTGTCTCACTCAATTCAACCTGCTTTGCAGAGTTGTTTTTCCTGAAGAATTACAAGTTATAACCTCTTTTGAATTCCTTTGAGGAGAAGCAGAGTATAAATCTGTCAAATTGGGATCCAATTGCCAACCAAAATGATAATGAATCTCTATTAAAAACAATGGAATGGCAGGCTTTGGCGATTGAAAACAGGACCATAGAAATACTTGGTCAACCTGTGTGCAGTAGTAGCTTTGATAGCGACATAGTGACCAGATCAACATCAACAAATAAATTTGTGAGTGAGATCTGAAGATGACCTGTATCCAACATTATCTCCTGTCACATTATTTTTTGCTACTTCCAGAGAGAGAAAAAGCAGATCTTTTATTTCAAAAGCTCAGCCATGCTTCTTATGAGGAAATAATAACAAAGAACATTCCCCTGCCAGAGATCAGGTCTAGCTGAGATCCGAGAAACTGCAACGAAAGCAGTTGACAGTAAAAGAGCAACGAACCTACCCGTTTTATTTTATTTTTCCACAGTTCCCCAGTGCCTGTTCCTCGTAGCTAAAAAACAGGGCCTCTAGTTGTTAAGCAAGCCGCTTCCCTTCTCTTGCTTAAGGTGCCCTAAAATTCAGATAGAATCAAAGATGCCAACCAAACCACAGAGCAGATCAACTGTCAACTGCAGTAGAAACACAGCTTGTTACGGGCACAGTTGTACCCCTCTGTAAACAGTGCTGGTTGCCTCCATATTGTATTTTTTGGGTAAACTCTCTCCCCCAAGGTGCCTGAACCGAACCTGTCATATTCTACAATGTATTTTGTACAATCGATAAGCCTGAAACCCAGTTTGTGTCCTTTTCAGTCAACCTGTTTGCTCTTTTGCTTTCCAATCTCTCAGGATTTTAAACTTGAGCATGTAAATATTTATAACTTGAGTATCACACAGCACCAGCTGGATTTGGCATACCGTTAATCTGTTTGCTTCAGAAGGAGGAAGTTGCATCTTACCTACGGTACAATTGCCTTATTTTGTGGATTTTTTTTTTTTTTTTTAAGTAAGGCCAAGCTGAGAAAAAGAAGCAAAAATTTAAATCCATTTTGTTTTCTCCATTCACCTAATGAAGTACATCGCTTCTTACCTGAGGAGCTCTCGATCCCAATATGATGCCACTGAGAATTTTTTTTTCTTTTTCTGTTGCTGCTATTCCTTTCGAAGACAGATTTTCGACATCTCCTAGACAGCTTCCAATCTCTGGCTTTTCCCCTGACTTCTGCTTGATGGTATTTATGAGGTCATCTTTGCAACAGTAGGCATTTCCTGGTTGGTGAGAAATACAGACAAATGGTTCAGAATACTTAGAAAAAGCCTGAGCTATCCAGACAGGCAAACGCTCCTTAAAATCTCCATTTTGTGACTAGTTTGTATTTCGCCAGAGCTGAATCACACAATTGGTGGTGGTTGTTTTCAATCTCGGGTACTTAAAAATAAATAGCTTGGAGCAAATTGTCTCACAGGGTCACTTCCCCATTTGTGACTGATTGGTAATTTTTAAAGTAACAGAAAGAGAAAAATGTTCTTAAAAACTAGATCAGGGGTGTCCAACCTTGGCAACTTTAAGACTTGTGGACTTCAACTCCCAGAATTCCTCAGCCAGCAAAGCTGCCAAGGTTGGACACCCCTGAACTAGATGATAACTGTACATTTAGTGAATCACTGAATAAAAAAGGTGACCAGATGTTTGTCCTGGTTTGTCCTTTCCCCCCCTCTAATCTGACTTTTAAGAAATGCCTCACAGGACTCAAGAGCCAAGTCCATTGTTGCATCTGAAATAGAAGTCCGTTTCTGCATCATAGAGTGGATGTCCTTTTTAAAAGAGCCTTAATTGTTTTAAAACATGCAGAAATTATGGCAAATGCCAATAAATTTAAAAAAAA